AGTGCGAATCAGAGTCGCCCCGCAGTGCCGTAAGATCTGTTTTGCCTTCGGGATAATTGACAAATCTCGCGATGGACTGTTGGAAGAAAAACAACAGCAGAACTGGGCCAGACAGGTGAATGAAGGACTCCCGGCAGGCAGAGCCCTGATTTGAATAGCTGATTGATGGCGACCACCAGCTAATGGGGCCGAGAGACAGCCGAGACGCCAGCACAGAAGCTGGCCTGGTGGCGCTACCGCCTCATATCGTCACTGGATGTTCAGAACAAACGACCCGACCCGAGTGAGGAATTTCATCTCCGGAAAAGCTGATATGTTGAGATATTATGCAGCCTCCACATTTCAACTGCAGTCAGTTCAGCGAAATGAAATTTTCTTCTTATGGGAATAGTGTTCGTGCTTGCCGCTCAGTTTCTTGCACTTCACGAAGAAGCGCAAGAAAGCACTTCTTCACTTGCACTTCTTACAACAGTTCATGTATCTCTGGCCCTGTCCTATCTTCCTCGTGTGCTGGATAGGCTGATTGATGGTCGACTCTGGGCAGAAGGTCAAACTCGACCATGGTGTCTCGACACCAGTCGACTCGTGACACCAACATCGCCCAACATCCGCCTGCTGCTGCACCAATCAGCCAGATTGGTGTCGTAACCACCACCACCGCCACCGCTGCCGCAGTGGATGTTGAGGCTGTCAACATTGGGCGTCAGACGTCGGATGTAGGACGTCGGTGGACGTTTTCGGACGTCGGACGTTGTCAGACACGACGGCAGCGACTGCAGGCATGCCGTAGCTGCTCTGCCCACAGCTCATTGGCCACGTCTTAGGACACTTCCCGCGCTCGCATAACGGCCATAAATTATCGCATGATGCAGAGATAATTGAAATAACATAATTTAGAAATATTTGCAAGCAGTAAGTGCGCTAGGCTCCGCTGAACAAATGAGTCAAGTCTGATCGACTCTTCCCATTTGTTACTTGTGCTGGCGACTCTGGTAACTGATCCACAACTAGCGCCACACCCAGGCTGTAAACAGCGGTTAGCGGTGGTCCTCTGAGTGGCCCATCAGAAGCACCATGAGTCAGTGTCTGATGAGGGTGATTGTTGGTAGCATCGGCCTCGTTACTGAGTGAGATGGGCGAGATGAACGAAGCGACCGAGACGATTGAGGCGATCTCGAGAGATCGAGTGAGTCTGAGTCGAGTTTTCGGGATCACCCCGTGGGGACGCTCTGAACCTCTGACAGAGCCGTTCTATTGATCCTCTCTCCTAACTGTCGGTGCTGTTGCCTGTTCTGTTAGATCTTTTTCACCTGATTCATGCACAGACTGCATTGCGCCTTCTGATTGCCATGTGGAAGTCGGCATCCACACTGTATATCTGCATATGATGTGTCAACTGAATGGCCATTTCCACACCATGTATTCTGCTGAGTGCTTAGGACATTTAACCGTTGGACGTCCACTGCACCAGCCATCCGTGCAACACCATGTACCCACTCCCTATTCACCCTTTGTAGGTAATCAGGACTTCCTTGACATCTGTCTGATGACACAGATTCGTCACCGGATGTGTCACCCACCAGTCACTACTGATCATCAACCAGTTAACACCCTGCTGACTCCCGTGCCACGCGCTGGGACGGCCCACCCACCGCGCGACATCCCCGCCCCTCCCCTGCCTGCAGAGCCGTGCTGGAACGGGACACTGGGGTGGGGTGGGGGGCCTGGGTGGGGGTGGGCTCATGAGCAGTGAATCATTAGAATGTCTCGCCACGCTGGGCAACGCTGGATGAAGTCATCAGCGTCGCTACAAGACATAATGCGGGTGTGTCCGTGTCTCGCTTGCAGTGAGATCGCACGATCAGAGATCATGGGTGGCCGGCGTGAACCGACGAACCGTGTTAAACTGCATGCGCGAAAATATGCTAGTTTGGCTCAGAGAATAAATGATCGCTACTGAGCGAATATAAGCATACCAGATTCCCTGTGGAAATATGTCTGACAAGGGGACTGCTATCTCCAGCAAAGATGGCCGCTAATCTTGTTGGCTTCGTCGATGAACGAGGCCATCTAGCTTAAATTTGATATAGATCATAAGACATTCCCCAAGCCACCAATCAACGTTCGAGCTTATAAAGACTGATGTTAATCAATGCTACACATCAACCAACGATAACTCCTAGAGACCGATGTTCACTAACATCAAATCTACCGTCTCGGCTCTCCAAATCTCAGCATCTCTTCGGTCGTCTAGGGAACATCGGTGAGACGTACGGAACATCCATGATAATGACCCAGTCGCTGTTCGGGACCGGGGAGCGGCCGATAGCGTGTCCAGGTTCCGCCCGCGGCCGTCGTGTCCGACAGGGCCGGACAGCGCAGCTCGGACGCCATTTTCGGACACGGTCCCAGCTCGGCGGAGCGCTATCTAACACGGCGCGACATGCGCCGCAGTTGTCTCACACGACGAGATAGCGACGCCGGGATGGGACCCGGCTGAGCGAGTGGTCAGGGCAGAGCTGGCTGGCCGGCGAGGGTAGAGCTGGCTGACTGGGAAGGTCGAGAGTCGGCTAACTGGTCAGCGAGCGAGGTTGAGGGCTGGTTGGACAGTACGGGCGAGAGTAGGACTAAGCGACCTAGAAGCCGATTTCATCCTCACCTGGCTTGACGTCACAAGGACGTACTGCGCTACGCTGACGGTGGTGCCCGTAGCGGGGGGTGGGGGGAAGCGGGGGGGGGGGAGTGCAGGTGTGACCCGTAACCCATGGACTTCCTGATTTGGTTGGAGAGGAGAGGGAAGGGGTGGACATGTGCGGTCATTGGGAAGGCAGACTGACTGGGTGCACACTGCACACGAAGACAGGAGTCAGGGTAACATAGATCGACTATTTGGTGCTTGGAGCACTGGACTGCCCAACCATATTCAGAACGTTCGTTGGAAATAATCCAACAAAGCAGCCAGTATTGTTCGTCGTTCGGTTGGCTGTATTTCCAGTTTGCAGACTGACACAGGATTGACACGGAACTGACACAAGAACTGACAGCAGTGACACGGGACCAGGAACCCTCCGATGGCTCGGCCATCGGCCACTGGACTGACGGACCAAGTCCCAGTGCAAGCCGTCATGCAGTGGTCACGCAACTCCGCCCCCCCCCCCGCCACCGGCCTGGCGACCTGCAGCCACTGGTGGAGGGAAGGGGGGGGGGGGGTGGGGGACGCCGTGGGTGGTCCTGCAGGACTCTGGTGGTCTCGACCCGCCTATCCTGGCCTGACCATTGGTCATAGACATTGGTCAGTGACCAATGTCTACTTATTTAATGTCCAATATCCTCCGTCAATTGACTACTGTCTACTGTCCACCGTCCACCTTCCACTGTCTACTGTCCACCGTCCACCTTCCACTATCCACTGTCCAACGTCCACCGTCCACCGTCTATCGTCTACCAACTGTCCACCGTCCACCATCCACCATCCCCGTCCACTACCCTCATGCCCTGCAGGCGAGTGTTGTCCATCGCCCGGGTCAGAGCCTGAGCTCAGAGGCCTGCCTCTCTGTGTGTTTCCGAGGTCAGTTTGTCACACAGCAGTGTGAGATGGACTCTGCGGAGCGGAACAGCTGCACGCGCGAGCTGCTGCAGCTGCGAAAGTGCTGAGAGACGGAGAGAGAGGTTGCTGGGTGAGGAAGAGAGGAATAGAAAGAGCGGTGAGGGCTGTGCGTAGTAGGGTTTGGGGAAGTTTGGGACGACGACTGGAAGGGAACCGACATTGGTGGTTGGATTTCTTTTTTCGGACGTCTGAACTTCACAGAATCGATAAATGTGGTGTGAACTGGCCTGCCAAATGACAAGGATCCGATGAACACAATAGAATCCTTATAGTGTCCTGTGAGTGAGCCTTTTCATTCATGTGTCTATGAAATCCGGAAGGATGAATGTTGGATAAACAAGGCATATTGCTTGTCACCTTGGAGGTGCAACACTTTGCGTGGGGTCACGTTACCTCAGTGTGACGTGACAAAAGCTTTACCGAGCAACACCATATTTCCAGAGATTACAAAATGACTTCAGGTTTACAGAGGCATTAGCTGTCTAAGTAGTAACGCATACACTATAGCTAATATGCATGCTGGATTTAGAAGGTGTTATTAATTTTCCCTCGTTATCATTGCAAGGTGACAAATGATAAGACATTTTAGAGGTTGATTGCACGTGTGATTTCTGGCTTAGGTGCACTGAATACACACCAACTGTGGCACAGGACCTTTTCCAGACGTTAGCCATTAATACTTTAGTGAAGTGCTGGTGGAATTTTCATAATAAGCTCTGTAACAAATGAGCAACCAGTGGATAAATATTAAAACCGTCAATAGATCGTACACGATTGTCCGTGGTTACACGTTACCATGAACGCGAACACGTTTTAAAAATGCATCTACATGCTCGCCTATTATTCATGAGCCATGACACGAGAACATGACCGTATCCACCAAATGCAAGATTCACCATTACACAAACATGAACTGTTGCCCAAATCCGTGCAAATATGCACATGTGTGAGCATCAAGTGAGTCTGCTGATGCACTAGAACCCACAAATCAAACAGGTCGGCTACCGAGGCGTCCTAAACTCGGTCTGCGGAGCGTACTTTCCAGCTCCACTCTTCAATGTCTCAAATGCAATATCTTAAGTCCTGATCACGCTATCGTCTCTAAATGTATATCGTCTCTAAATGTATCCTAAACGTTCAACTGTCTCCTGATTTTCTCACCGTCACTTGACAAAAGCACATCCTTGCTTACCTAAAACCTATCCTTTTGAGCACCTGATTTGACCAGCTTATGGGCGTCTCATTGTCACCTTACGTGCACACCGTTCCCTTATTACTGCACTACCTTCCTCGCCCTCCTAGCCTTCTCCCCGTCTTCTTGATCACCACATGCTTCCCATCGAACTCCAAATTCTCCTGATCCCCCCCCCCCCAAGTCTCCCGCGCTCCTCACCAGGTTAGCGTAGAGCGCGGCCGTCGCGGCGGCCGGGTCCGGCAGGCCCACGTAGCCCTGGTCGGAGAACGGGTAGCCGGCGGTGCTGAGACGGGGGTAGCTGAGCATCCTAGCCGGGTCCAGCTGACACGAGCACACAGTGTGACCCGATATGGGGTCAGCCAGGATCGGCCGGCCCGTACTGCAGCATGGAGAGCTCGGCGAACTGCTGGTCGTGGGGGGAGTCGCCGACAGCGCCTGAGGGCACAGAGGTCAGGTCAGAGGTCACAGCTCACAGAGGTCAGGTTATGATCCGATCATCACAGAATAAAGGTCACAGCATGCAGAGGTCAGATCACTATCTGATCACAACACTGGGGGCGGGTCATGACCTGATCACAGCACAGAGGTCAGGCCATGGTCCGGTCACAGCACAGAGGTCAAGTTTGAGGTCACATATATCACGTCATGATCCGATCATATCATATAAATCAGTTTATGATCCGATCATCACAACATAAAGGTTAAGCCGGAAATCAAAGAGGTCAAGTCACGGCCTGAAAGCAGCACAAAGGTCAGGTCATCATAAGGATTGATAAGCTAGGAAAAGCTATACGAATTCCACTTAGGATATCTTGTTACCTGATGACAAAGCTCAGTGATGATGCGACATGTTTTACACGAGCTAATACAGGTATATATGTAGGTGCAGGTATATTATCAGTCAAGTAAAATCGCTAGCTTGCGATCTTACAAACAATTGAATTACCTGACTTCTTTTATGATCAGAACCTCAGTTGAAGCTGCAGCAATTGGCTAATGGAAATCAAAATTTAGTATAATCAGTGATTAATGGTAATTGTACCTATCGCATGTAAAAACCGGTGCTAATGCGTGCCATGACACCATTGTAACCTTGTACAATCACGTAAGCGTCTTGCACTCCAGGAAACAGGTAAGCTCTTGTTTTCCTGTCATGTTTCCTAGGTTTGAACAATTAACTGAAATCGTTTCGATGGCTTGAACGAGTTTCCGTGAGCATCTTTGCCTATTTATAACAGTTTGGACTCTTTGAACGTAGTGTGGTACATATTGTTCCAAGACTGGTTGGAGATGTATTTTTGTGGGTGTGTTTCATAGCAGCATGTAGTGCAATGATTTGATATCTAAGCTAATTAAACATCTTAACTGTTTTATAACGCTATCTTTTACCTTCCGTCATTGATCTTTATTGAAATGTGTTAAAAAACGTTGATATTTTAACACGCGCAGTGGAAGGGGGGGGGCGGATTTCGCCCACCCCTCCTGTTTTTCGCCAATAACTCGCGTCGCAAACATAATATTAATGTGAAATTTCGGCTACCTGCCCAGAATTGAATTGCGGATCTTCTCGTGCAAGAAATAAGAAAATCGGTTCACAACTTTTCTAGTAATAGCGGTCTAAAGTCAAACATCCTGCCGCCGCGGCGGCGCGGCGGCGCGGCGGCCGGCGCTAGCCGTTACGCGCCGCCTGAATTGTAGACTGTGCCGGGGCGGGACGGTTCCTTCTTTACATCGCGCTCCTTACCGCTGATTACATTAGATTCGCGTCAAATTCGGTGAGAAGACTGAGAAATGTACAGGCAATCATATGGTCAAAGAATTTTGAAAATCGGCCGGTAATAATTTGAGTTATGAGTGTGTAAACACAAAATTGTGATTTCCGCGTTTCCCGCGTCGGCCGATCCCGCTTCAGCCGGCGACATCTTACACTTAGCAGGCTTCTAACTGCCATATTTATTGTTGGATTATCTAGAAATTCACCATACATACTCACAATTGTTTGTTCTTTCGTATAGTGAAAGAAAAAAGAAAATCGGCCGGTAATTTTTTGAGTTATCGGCGTGTAAACGCAAAAAAGTCGCTAATATGGCAGATTTGACCACATTTGACCTCATTTGACCTTGAAGATATTGACCTAGGGTCATGAAATTCACACACAGCAGAGTTCCCCATGGCCCCCACCTACCCTCCAAATTTCGTCTTTCTAGCTCCAGTGGGAGCTGAGATCTTAGGGGGGGGGGCGACATCCGCCCCCCCCCCTTCCACTGGGCGTAGTACTCGCAACCCTTCCACTGCGCGTGTTAATAAAGAGTAATGATGTTGGTGCTAATCACCTTTGCGGACATGCATACCGGATACGACAGGAAAAAGGACAATGTCTGATATCATTCCGACAGATTCTTGGTGCTGGCCAGTGGCCACGATGAGGAAAAATGGTCTATATGGTGATAACGCTACCTTGGATAGCTACGACTGCTGAGAGTTCTGCTGCCAATGGTCACTCGTAGCTGCATCCAAATTCATCAGTGAAGTTATCAAATGTAATGGATCACCTGCATTCTGTATGACAGTTTTGACCTGCACAGTACACAGAGGCAACTGCACTGATAAAAAAAGAAATATCGAATATTGCTGTATAGACATTAGACAAGGAGTGTATTTTTGTCGTCATCAACCTCAAATTTGTGGCAGCAGAAGTGTAAAGTGTAAACGTTAACCCGCGCCCTGATGGGGGGGGGCCATTTTGGCCCCCCCTGTGGTTTTTCTTAAATAGCGAGAAAACGGCGGCGCGCAGCGCCGCCAAATTTTGAGTACCTTACCGGACATCAATTTGACACCTTCACACAAAATTTCAAGTCACAGGTCACCTCAGGTCAGGAGTTATTGAGGTCAAACTGAGGTCATGTTCGAGTAAAAATGAGCAAAAAACATGACATCTTGAAACGCTCACCAATTCTACAGTTCACAAGCAATTTTAAAGTTCTTTATGTGGTTGTGTAGAGAAAAGACGGCGCTACAAAACTGCTATCTCGGATTTTTGAAATTTTTGGATTTTGACCCCCAAAAATCAAAAAAATTGATTTTTTTAGAAAAACTCAAAAAATTTCCAAAATTTTTTCGAATTTCGAAAAAACCGGAATATATGTGATAGTCCCTGCGCTCTTCGATATACATACCAAATTTTAGATCGATACCTCTTTTTTTGGCCAAGTTATAGCGAAAAGACTGTTAAAAATTGATGACGTCAAATTTTTGAACTCAATTTTTAGCAATTCTAGACCTCGTAGCGCAAAACGGTGACCACCATTGAACTCCCCGTGACGAGCTGCATCGAATCGATACCCATTTTATGCAAAAATATCAACTTTGAAATTTGACCTAATTTGACCTGACCTTGACCTGACCTTGACCTGACCTTGACCAAAACGTGACCTAAGCTGGCCCTAAAGTCTGTCTGACCCACATAATCGCATTTGTCATGTAAAATGGACCATAAAACATGTATCACACGACACTTTCATATTGTGACCCCCCAGTGACCTGACCTCTGTGACCTGACCTGGTATCAGTGACCTCAAATAGCAAAATATGTGTTTGAAGAACATTTCCCCATCGATGATTTTCAATGAAATGCATTTTACACGATTTTACAACGCATTTCTTGAAATGCCTGTAAACGGTGAAAATTCGACCTTTGACCTGACCTGTGACGTCATCGGTTTGACCGAGGTCAATGAAATTGGGTCACAAGGTAGTTCCTTGTTGGGGCTATCCAACACCGTTTACCGCTTGTCGCTATGTTGCGTGGTTCTCGAGATCTGAGGGGGGGGGGGCCAAAATGGCCCCCCCCCCCATCAGACCGCGTTGCTCGGCAGACCCCATCTGGGCGCGGGTTAAAAGGTGCAAAATTTTAAAATCATAAATCTAAATCTCGCAAAAATCCATAACAATCATGATATCATGCTATCATGATAATACACTTTCGCATACACTTGCATTAACATTTCGGCTTAGTTATCGATAACACCATTTTCGCTCTACTTCTTATGTGTATCACCAGCGTAGATCGAGCCGTTGGATGTAGGTTTTCGTGTCGCCAGCAGCGAGCCTTGGTAGCCTATTAACTTCAATAAATGTGACTTATCTCCACGTGCTGAGGGCGGGGAGCTGCCGGGGCTCATTCAGCGAATTAATGACTACCATTTCTCATTCTGAGCTGGGAAAGAGAGGGGAGACAACAAGGGACAAAATCCTCACGCAGAAATGCGTGTGCTGAAGAGGGACTATAAACAGGGAACCATATAGTGCGGTAGCTTGGGTTATTTACCAAATTATCGTGATGCATGCTGTTAATTTGTAAACAGAGTAAAACAAAGATGTAATGTTTTCAAACAAGGATGCTGAATGTTTCGTGTAGATATGTCAATCGGATACCAACTTTTTGGTATACCGATACCAAACCGATACCAAATTGGTATTTGGTATTTCAATCCTAGTGTAATCGGTATTCTGTTGGTATCATGAGCCCTCACTAATGTATAAAAGGCTAAAAAAATGGTAAAAAGTTGGTATTTTCATCATGATTCCAAATTGGTTTGGTTTCGGTATTTCCCCACGGTTTTGGTTGGTATTTGGTTTGGTATCGGTATTCCGATTTTCCGTAATTGACATCACTAGTTTCGTGGTAATATGTTATATTTGATGCTCCTTTGTCAAAAGGTACAAATGATGAACTTTTCCATGACCTATGTTAACAGGACCTTACATGGAACGAAATACAGATTAATATTGAATCTCCCAGCATCAGGTGACTGTTCGAGCTGCATGGAAGACAACCTGCACCGAACATTGTGCTCTTTAACTATTCAAACGACTTTGCACCAGATATTCGAAAGAGATCAGCATGAAACCGCAACATTTGCAGAATAGTGAGACACCAGCGACGCGTCGTATAACAGTAGTAACGAAGATATTAGTTTTTCTTTAAAATGGGACCTATTTTAATGCATGTTAGCTGACTTGTGAGTTGTGAGCACTACAACTGAACAATGTATTGGAGCATCATTGCATAGTCCACTCCATAAAACTTCTAAAACATCGTCCATACATGATGCAGCCCCTGCAGCTACCATTCGAGTCCCGCTGGCTCCCATGCTCCCTAGTGACACGAACCGGCTCCTGCCAGGGGCTCCGCCACGGTTTTGGGATTGGGGGGGTCCGACCGAAAACACAAAACCTCGCTGGCGGATCCGGGGTGGGCATTTTGGGCGAATTCACCCCCCTCCCCTGCAGCTCCCGAAGATGATGAAAAATTGCCGCTTTTTCTAGAGCTCAAAGAAAACTTAATAATTCTATCGGGATAATTTTGGTTTGAGCCGAAAAACTAAGGCTCAGTTTGCACAAGAAATCGAAAACCGAGAAGAGGAGCCCATTGACACCGACATGGCGGCCTCTCAAATCAACGTTTTTGAGCAATGGAGGCCGCTGTTGCGCGCTCCAAGGGCGGTGTTAGCCATCAGACAGCGCATTAGGCTCTCAGTGACTGGCATGCGCTTGGGAACTCAGGGACCTTCATAGGCGCTCAGATATCTATGTTAGGCTCTTAGGCCAGTGCCGGGTCCTCCAAGGCCGTAGTTGAAGGAAAGCGCAGGGCTTTAGGAGTCGTTGAAGGGATTTGAAAGCCCTGCCCTCATACATATAGCAGTATGGAGTCCTTAGAGACTGACATTCAGTCTCTGTGATCAAAGAGTGACCTACCTCGACCTGAAAATGGATATCAAAATGCTGCAATTGAATCAAAGGTCAGGTTATGCAGGGAATCCTGTAAGAGTTATGATTTGTAGACCGACGTATCTCTACCGACCGGCATTCAGAGTCCTGTGCAGATTATTGCAGATTACCTCAGAACGGTGTGAGGCTGCTTAGACTAGTACGGTGCTTGAAAGACCGGCTTAACCCCCTTCCCCCAACACTATCGGTTGACCTCACATGGAAAAAGGATTATCAGATCGCTTTGAAGCTCTTTTGGGGCGGGTATTGTGTCTAGGTGTCCTGCAAGCTGGACCTCTCTCACGAAATTATAGCCGAATTCTAGCATGCTGGGCTAATCCTATAGCAACCTTAAACGCATTCATTTTAATAACAAAATGGCAGAATAATGACACTCTCATACCTACATATAGGTCGGCGAAAGTTGAGCGCTTCGTGTGTCACATTTTTAGGGATCTCTACATTTCTATATCTTAAATTCCTTAGCTTTGCGACTGTCAACACTGCACATTCTGAATTATTCAACACATTCTGTGAATGATTGAGTCATTCTTACGCGAAAACACGCTTATAGGTATTCAGAATATTGGGGGGTACTGTACCCCCCAGGTAAATTATTGAGGGGGTCCGGACCCCCGCGTACCCCCCTGTGGCGGAGCCCCTGGCTCCTGCCCTCTCTCCCCATGGTGTCCCTCGGTATCTCTCGGTCCTCCGGTCGGGTCACCCTCTCCCCTCAGGCTGGCTTAGCGGGTAAGCCCGCGAATACAGTCGGCTTCGCTGGAGTGGCCCCTGACTCATCCCCTGTTCAAAGGCCACAAAACCAGACGAGTGGGGAAGCCGACTGAGATTTTCATTAGAATATTGAACTGTTGAGTTTATGTCGATAGCAAAAATTATAATCATTTTATGAGTATTTGATCGCTGGATAGTGGATTTACAGATGTTGGAAAAGATATCCAATACTTTGAGCTATAATGCTTGTAAATGCATTGACACCTAAAATTGCCTGAGGGCTGAAGACTTGCATTTATGAGCTGGACTCATCCCGACAACCAATGGCTCAAAGCAGGACTTCAATAACAAGCTCCTGAGTATGGAGCAGGAGACACGGAAACGACTCAAATCGTTCAACATATGTGCATTATGAAATTAACATTAGATTTGGGACAAAACATTCAGTTTACTTATCTCAAAATAAATATTGTCAAAGTCTTTTCGTGTTTCATGTCCACACAGTCCATACAGTTCAGAATTATTCTAAACCTTTCACGCACAGCTCACAGAACACAACGAACATCGTACGATGTAGAGCATACAGCGAACACCCATGTTGCAGCGGGCACTCAGCAGGTATGTTGGCCCATGGCACCGATATGTATCTGGTAATGTACTGCGCACACCAAGCATTTTGCAGTGTTCAAAACATGAGATGCTTTGTGTTTCTGATAGCGGAAGCTGGTCTACTAAACATTGCACAGACGCACCCAGGCGTATATGTGCTGTAGGTACGGATGATGCAAACATCAGACCTGTACAGACAGTGTGCAATGTAGCCCGAAAGCCAGACAGGGTGATCTAAATCAATGCAGCAGCGAGCTGCGAGGTCCCTCTTGTGCCGCTTTTCACCCAGTTCATTATTTAGGGACTCGCAGTGCTATATATCAGCGGAATGCGCTGCTTAGCGCTCTGCATTACCTAACTTAGATCAAGCAATACCATGACTTTAGGCATAGAACTAGCAAAGAGCAATCTTCGCCATGACTTTCAGCGGTAAGCGGAAACCACAGCACCGCAGCTCAGCGGGACAGCGGCAACAGCGGTACAGCGGCATAGTGACACAGCGGGACAGCGGGTAATACGGCCGGCGCCAGCGGCGGACGGTCGGTCGGGTGGCACGCGCTCAGCAGCGAGCCGGCGAGGGCGAGGGCGAGGGCGAGGGAATTGATGGGGCGAGCCGGCGCTAACGGGGACGATGGAGAGAGTGCTAGAAGACGGACGATCCGCGAGCGGCGAGGGGGGTGTGATCAACGAGTTCGCGAGCGGCGGCGGCGGCGGTGGGGATTGGGTAGAGGTGAAGGAGCGGCGGTTAACGACGGACTGGTGAGGACAGGGTTAGGAGGTCTACTCTGAGAGCACCCGGATCTCCGGCAATATCAGCTGGTTGAATGAATAAGGACAGTGTAAGGATAGGTTTTTCATCTCCAGTATGTGTAGAAATTGAAACACATTAAGAAAGATTTAGCTAGCTTACATATTGCGCTTAATAGGGTTAGATTGATATGAGACATCAATCAGGTTCTGTTGCTCTGATGCCATAAATCATTTGTGTGGGATAGAATCAACAAATGCTGACGGTAGAAGCCGAAGCCGTCCATATCTACACACCTGTGGTGCTGAACCGAGCCCCGGGTACACGGACATGATGCGTCCGCTTGGCCCGCGCGGTCCGCAGGGGCGCTACGCCGCGTGACGGTCCGCTCGTGACGGGTGACGGAGTGATGAGTGATGAATGGCCACCCAGCAATATCAGCACTCCCTGGGACCACACCAGCTCCTGTGTCCACAGATGGATCCACGGAGCGGAAAATCTCGCGGGATTTCACGGTCCGGCCACAGGTCACGCTCCTCCGTGTCCTCACAACTGTCCTCTGTGTCCTCTGGATCCTCACAGGTGTCCTCCCGGTCCACTGTGCGTCACTGTTTGTCCACTTTGCCGTCCCCACACCACGACACCGCTTGTGAACACTGCAGACCGCGCCGAACACTCCCTTCCTGCCGCGTGCCGCCGAGCGCCGCCGGTCCTGGTCGTCGCTGTGCTCTCTGTCGACTCTGGCGACCCGCCGCCGACCGGGGGCGGGGCCAACGCGCGCTCGGCCGTCGCTCCGCCCACCCGGCCGCTGATTGGCGCAGCCGAGGCCCCGCCCCAGTATCGAGCGCGCCGCGCGCCGGGTGCGTGCCACCCGGACCGGGCCGGTCCCATTTGTTGGCCGGTGGCTGATGGGCGGAAAACATGGACGACACGGTCGGACAGAGCGGATGTGGCCTCGGTCGGTTGACCTGCCACCCCCGGGGCGGGTGACCGGCGACCGGTGACCCCTGACCGCTGAACTCTGATTCAAAATGCACCCGGTAACAGGGGAAAAGGAAGCTAAAAGACAAAAATCCCTGACATGTGCTCTGTGGAGGGTGGGGAGCCGAGGGGGCCACTGGGAGGGATATTGTCTGTCGCGGTGGGGATAGGGGGAGGGACGGGGAGAGCCGTCATAGCACTGTGTACACAGATTGGGGGGCTTACTGTAACACAAAGCTCAGCCTGGCTACGGGGAGATAACATGGCCTGGGGCGGTGGTGGTTGATGGTGGGACGGTGGGAGCTGTGTAGAGCTCACCCCGGTAGTCAGATCAAGATAGTATAGGACAGGGATGGTGGTGGCTGACGAGGCTAGGACGTACACAAAGCTCAGCGCAGCAGTCAGCTAATAATATGACCAGGGGCGGTGGTGGCTGACGATGGAATGGTGGAAACTACGTAGAGCTCAATCTCGCAGTTGGCTTCAACCACATAACAGTCAAGGAGCGCTGGGAGCCACACAAAGGCTCAGTCAAGTGGTCAGATAACATGCCCTGGGGCGGTGGTGGTGGTGGTGGCTGACAGGTTAGGCTATTGGAGCTCTTGGTAACATGCCCACGCCTAGTAGTGGTGGCTGATGTGTCCAGTGCGAGCATTCCGCGCTGGGACCATGACCACAACCGTAGTGCTAGTTGACGGTGAGCCCGCAAGTCTCACTTAGGCTTCAAACTATTCATTTCTTCCAGAATGTCAGTTGATGCTGTGAGGCCATGAGTCGTGATGTCTAAATCTGATTTCTGAGCACATTTTTCTTTACAAAAACGTCTGCTTAGACATCAGGTTATATGCGTATTAATTTCTTGTGAGAAAGACGTCAGTTTCTAAACCAAGGCGTTTCGTAAAAATAGTTTTCTAGCCACCTACCTCCCTGTTCCCTAAAAGATGATGGTCAATATAACTTCATACTTTCATACATATGCTTAAACATCTCAGAGTAATGGGTACTTCAACTATGCGTAGATGAGGCAATCATGCCTTGAATGCCACATATAAATCCGTGGAAGCCGTGAAATCGCGACATAAAATTTTGTAGCGGAAAGTTGTCGCTGGTGTGGCATATAAAAGTACATTTACAACTAACCTCAGCGCCCGTCAACCAGTTTACGTTCCAAACTTCGGCCCACTAAATGCTGGATGACGCTCTATCTGGTGAGAGAGTGAAAGGGGCGCGAAAAGGCTTCATATTCCGTTTAACCGCCAATCAGACACTGCTGATTCTGCTTACCACTATGACGATATTCCGTCCTAAGTACTAATTCTAACTAAGTAATCCTCATTTGGGTTGGAGCTAACGACATAAACATTCGTCAACGGTCGTAGGGAAATAAAACTAGTTATGTGATGCTGATATAAGGTGAATGAGCGCCATAAGCTTCACAGAAGTTCATGTATAAAGTTGGTAGGCTAACATGACTCCACCGAATCCTTTGATTTATTGCATTCGCTCTACATTGCGTTGTACATTGTTCTTCATTGCATTCTCTATAGTTTTCTCACAGCTTGTTTTCGTTCCCACTAGTTTTCTCCCAGCGCTGGTTCCGTTACCTCTAGTGCTCTCTTCACTTCGGTTCCTTTCATTCCGGTTTCCTCTCAGCACGTTTCCCTCCTGCAGTTTTCTCTCATCTCCTCGGGCCTCAGCGAACGGCAATTCCAGAAGCCGTCTGCAACAGGTTCGACATCCCGGCAAGGAGAAAAACCGTGTCCGGCTTCCCGTCTGTCGCATAGAGAGTGGCTCTGCGCTGCATGACAAACGCCTCCAATCAAAGCCGGACCGCCGCTGCTCATGCTCTCACAGTGAGCAGTGTATGCATGACGCGGCACTGAGCGCGATGACACAGGAGTTGGACTGGTGGGGAGACCGCTGCGGCTTCTATTGAGCGCTGAACGCGTTGAAGCAGTGAAGGCAGCAGCGCGGGGGCGGCGGGAGGGGGAGGATTGGGGCGATAACAGAAGCGCGGTGGCAGAGGCGGCGGTGGAATGCTGAAAACGTTTTGGTTGATGACTGGTGGTTTGAAAGAAGTGGCCCGATTGTGTTACACGTCAAAGACAGCCGCGATTTGTGGTCGTGAAAGGCAAACGGAAATCACGAGCTGTGCATACTCGCAGCTGACACAAAACCAGGTTGAATAGACGTGCCATGAGGTAGGCCAGAAGACTAATGTGCTAACCGTTCCCAGCTCATTATTTTTGCGATTGCTGACTTCATACTTCACTATGCTTATGGTGGTCGGCGTACAGTCGTGTACAGGTTGATGATCCTCTACTCTTTATCCACCGGGTTCCTATGGCTCAGCATTGGCAGCAGCCGCCTGGTACCGGTAGGCTGTGCCGCATGACCCGAGAGTGAAGCGGCACAGCCTACCCACACTGTATGACACCGGCTCGGGTCGCCTGGTAGAGCGATTTGACCGGACGCTGCGTTACACCGGCTGGGGGGAGGGGGTGGGGGTGGGGGTAAGGGTCAGGCCTGTCGATTTGGCTCGGCTCAGTGGATGAGGCGGGCTGGAGTGTGGTGTGGGGCGGGGGTGATGTGGGGAGGGAGTGAGCGGACCTGGGGCTGGGTGTGTGTGGTCACTTGTCGCATAGAACCGATCGTAATCCACCCTCCAAAAATTCGCTTTAGAGATATTCACAAAACCCAGGGGGTTCAAACACCCATCTCCCAAGTGGGGTGCGGAAGGACAGGTAAGGGTCCATATGGTCTCCTCATGAATTGCAGCAAAGAAAGAAAACAGGTCAGTCACCAAATAATCTTTCTGAAAAGTGGACTAACCGCAAAGACTCCCACACAGCAATAAACATCCAGCACTCGAAGCGTCTCGAACCGGGCCTCTCACTACCGGTCAGTTTGACAGTCTAGCACTCCTACGCTGAGCTACACCTGATAGCGGATTGGGCCGGGGCAAAGTCCGGCCGGGCGGGCGGCGGGGCCGGGCGGTCGGTAGCAAATTCAATGAATGTTTTTGTGGTTTTGGGTGCCGGTCGCTCTAGATTGGTGGAATGATAATGGATCATTGGCAAAACTTCCAACGTGGAGTCCCGGTTCGAGCCTCATCGGGGCTCCGGGTTACTTTTCCGGGTTAGGATCTGGTTTGATTTTAGTGGTTGCGAGCCATTTATACGGTTTTATACCTACATGTCGATTGTCGATTGATTGATTGATTCATTCATTCGTTCATTTAATACATGTCGACATTTAGCATACGAATTGACATCCAGGATCAATCTACCATTTTCATAAACGTATTGCCTAAATATCATGCATATATGTGGCACAAGACCTCGGTTTCCTCGGTACCGTGCCAAATCACGTTTTGCACAATGCACAAGTAAAGTCAATTATATTCACTGGGTCTTCCGTGCATTGTGCTTAGCAAAAACAGGAATGCAATTGTTAAGCGACGCAAAATGTGCAATGCAGCAAGTGACCACACACACCCGCCCAGCTCCCATGGTCCACCAACACGCCCCACACCACTCGCCAGCCCACGCCAACCACCGAGACGAGCCCCTCCCCCCGCGCTGGTCTGACGCAACAGCTGGTCTACAAAGCGCTCCACCCGGCGACCCGAGCCGATGTCAAACGGCGTGGGTAGACTGTGCCGCTTCACTCTCGGGTCATGCGGCACAGCCTACCGGTACCAGGCGGCTGCTGCCAATGCTGAGCCATAGGAACCCGGTGGATAAAGAGTAGAGGACCATCAACCTGTACACGACTGTACGTATAAGATCCGCCTCACGTATTTTCATTTTCTATATGTGGTTTCCGCAGCTTTTAGCCATCGCCGATCGCATGACCGGATTCATGCATGGCTATTCATATTTAGTGTGATGACTCACACATTAACAAGTGTATCGAGTGGGATAGTATAGTCCGTTGGTACATGTAGCGTTTTGCCTATGACTAGCATGCAACGAATAATATACGAACAATACTCTCTGAAATGCTATAATCAAAACAAGGTTTTACTTTCGCAGATCCGTGCCCTTAGCATCAGTATCCGGAGAGCTTGCATGCATTGCTTACAGTGGATTGTTACGTATTTCCTTATTAGTTAATTAAATAATTACCGATAGGTGGTCCACTTTCAACATTCGGACACTCGTTGAAAGTGATGATATCATTTGCGGTAAGGAGGCTTGTTAAGGACATGCCACCGACATGAGATCATGTTATTGCTATGAGTGATGTTTCCATGGCTTTCAGTATATCTAGACGGTTGTATGTGTCAAATGACGGCCCATTCAACGAGGAAGACTGGGACTGCCGTCACATGAAATGATTCACTGACATATGCGACTGCTTTAGGTTATTAAATGAGTGTTTATGAGTTCCAAACCTCGCTGGCGGCAAATGACCCACTGCTTAGCGGCACGGTCAAACGAACGACGCATGTGGGCTGCGATCTTGCTGAACAAGTCTCGCTTTGACCTCAAGTTTGCAGTCTACCGCCGTCTTACACAGCAAAGACAAGGTGTGGGTTGTGTCGCGATGGGACGCAGACCCTCCAGCGGCGGCAGAGTTTTGACATGACGTCATGGTAGGCGAAAAGCTTTAATGACGTCATAAAGTAGCGATGATCGCAGCAAAGTTATGTAATTTCTCACCCGGATGATAAGATGGTTATTCGTTACATGCTGGTCCGCCAAACCATAGTGTGTTAGTTTCTTATACTATTTCCAGCTATTACATTTGTATTTGTATGGTTT